GTGTCCCAAACTCTCTAATTTTTTAAGAAAATCAGAAGTATCCTTAATAACAGATGATACATTACACACTAAAGGTTGTATATGAAAATCCAAAAATTCCGATATTCTTTCAGTGGCCGTACCGCAATTAGAAATAAGCGGCCTTCCTGGTACATTCTCCAAACGCTTATGAATTTTAGGCAACAAGTAAAATTTTCCTAATCGGGATTTGGAAACCACTAGATATTTTCTATTGGCCAAAGATATATATCCTTTATACACCAAAGGCTCCAACGTTTTTTCTGCTAAAGAATTAACCGTATTCAAGGGATCTGACTCAGTAACCTCATATACCTGCTCATCATTAAGGTGATTATAAGCTTCATCGTAATAATCCTTCCTTCCCCACACAACTACAGCCCCACCCTTATCTGCCTCCTTAATAACAATATCCCGATACTTCTTGAAATTTTTAAGTGCTTCTTGCTCCTCTGAGGAAAGATTACTAAAATTACTACCCCGTTCGTTAATAGCCAAAACCCGTTCTTCGAATTTACTAAGATAATGCTCAGTTTAAATGAACTTGCATACCTATGTTAATTAGGATTGGGCCAAAAGTATTTAAGGACATGGATTTGAACTTATCTCGTTTCTGACGAAGGGGCTGTACCCCGAAACGTATCTTTATCTTTACAACATGTATTTATTTATTTGAAGTTTAATAAAATTTATTTTCAATTTGAAGCTTTATATAAATGAAGTTTTTTGGGAGGCTAGTGATTTACATATATATATATATATATATATATATATATATATATATATATATATATATATATATATATATATATATATATATATATATATATATATATACCTTAAAGACCATCTTGTTCGGGCTAAATTGCATATGCTTGAGGTTGCATGCAGCTAGAGGGATGGTTAAATGTGGGGGGGGGGAAAGTGCAAGGTTTGTGATTCCATCGTGGTAGTTGATACTTTTCAAAGTACAGTACAACAGCGCACGTTTCACATTAACCATCACTTTGATTGTAACTCTCAGGGGGTGGTTTATTTAATTACTTGCGGAAAATGTAATAAACAATACGTGGGCAATACGGTAACGTCATTTCGTCTTAGATTTAATAACCACAAGAGTTCGCTTAATAGATTTTCTAAGGGCCAAAGAGGTTTATGTGGTCAACATTTGTATGAACATTTTTTTGAGGAGGGCCATTCGGGTCTTAATGATTTTAAAGCACAGATTATTGATATCACGGATGTTAATAAACCTACAGAGAGGGAAAGTTTTTGGATTGAAAAATTGAATACATATGTACCACTGGGATTAAATTTGAGGAAGGAATATTAATGCAAGTCTATATATATTATTAGTGTATGTTAATTAGGATTAGGCCAAAGGTATTTAAGGACATGGATTTGAACTTATCTCGTTTCTGACGAAGGGGCTGTGCCCCGAAACGTATCTTTATCTTTACAACATGTATTTATTCATTTAAAGTTTAATAAAATTTATTTTCTATTTGAAGCTTTATATAAATGAAGTTTTTTGGGAGGCTAGTGATATATATATATATATATATATATATATATATATATATATATATATATATATATATATATATATATATATATATATATATATATATATATTTATCTATTATATATTTATATATACATTTATCACATAGAATTTAGTTTAAATACAAGCTTTTTAAACAATTAATACCGAAATAACAGCGTAAAAACATGTTCATTAAAAATATAAATTGTTCAGAAAAGTTTGCAACGAAAGACAAATGAATTTGCAGTCAACAAGCACTTACTACACTACCAAACATCTGTATGATATATCTGAGCTTTTTGTTCCATTTCTTTCACTTTGTCTTCGAGTTGTTAAACAAAAGTATCATTTACTATGAAATCTTGCTGCTTACTGTACTATCATTTACTATGAAATCTTGCTGCTATTCCCGTTTACCGTTGATATCAAATCTTTTCGTTAATCGTTTGTGATGTTGCTATATATTATACAACGTTTATGTTCCAAAAGTCATGGCGATTTATTCGTATTTCTTTACTATGGACAATTTGAACATTGTACAGCTACCCTTTGTTCTTCTTGGGGGGTCACCATGCATACTATAATTACCTGTGAAAAGTGCCGATTGCTTTTAGATTTCCAAAATATATGGGTTGATACAAAAGTCACGTGACGTTCTTAAATGTTTCTAACTTTCTCAATTAAATTCTAATATTATGAATATTTTAATCCTGATTTGAAGTCCTTTGTCGTGTATAAACACAACTACTATACAGGGTGTATAAAAAAACTACAAAGATTTGAAATTGCTCTTAAGTCGCAAAACAGCTACTAGTATCCAGTTTTTTTTATGTATATAGCTTCTCGGCGTACTTATAATGTATAAAAATGGAAAATTTCTCGAACTCAAATTGTGTAAACCAGGGGGGGTGGTGTCTTTTCCAACAAACTAAAAATGGCTTGCGCAACAAATTTAAAAGCTTTAATCATATTTTCAGTTGATAGATGGAACATTTGTTGGGTTTTTAATTACTGTACAAAATTTCAAACAATTTGCTTTAGTTTAAGCCTTTTAGCTATTCCTTTTTCTCTAAAAAATTAGCCTTTTGCATGCTTTATTAATGTCTTTACCTAATTTGCGTGTTGCTAACATATGCAAATTAGGCAAAGGCATCAATTAGCATGCAAATGTTGATTTTTTTAAAAAAATGTAAGTTTGCGTAAATGGTTAAAGGGCTTAAACCGAAGCAAATTGTCTGAAATTTTGTACAGTAATTAAACACACGACAAACTTTCCATGTGTTAACTTAATATATAATTAAAGCTTTTAAATTTCTTGCGCAAGCCATTTTTAGGTTGTTGGAAGAGACACATACCCCTGGTTCACAAAATTTGAGTTCGAGAATTTTTTTCCATTTTTCTACATTATAAGTACCCAAAGAAGTTATATACATCAAAAACTGGATACTACTAGCTGTTTTGCGAATTTAGAGCAAATTTCAAATCTGTGTACTTTTTTTGATACACCCTGTATAAAATTTAACTATAGAATTGTGACTTGTTTTCGTAACATGTGTTTCACAAGTAGCTTGTTCTCATGACGTCATCATAATGTTGACAACAATTAATACTGGGCGTTCTCGTCTGCTTATTATTATTATGTAAATTTACAAGTAGGCAGGACCCAATATGCTATTGTCTATCAATGTTTACTTAATCCTACATTGCTTACTTTGCTTCGCCAGCGTTTGGAATTTCCCATGGAACAGGCTACTTGTGGAACAAATGAACGATCACATGACTTTTGTTTCAACTCTTTTTTCTTCTTCTCTTTTCCCACAAAGTCCCGCACCTACGCGACATGTGATTCTTCAACGGTAAATTTTCGTAATACTTGATGCAGAATCAAAATTAATTAAGATCTTTGTTATGATTCGGAAATGGACTCAAAATTTCAAGTAAATATCCTCTTTGAATTACTTTACATAGTTTAACACTAAGTTTTGTCGTACTTCTAAGGTGGGCCGCCTGTGATTGGGTCACCATTCTTTTGGGGAAATTTATTTTCCCCTCTGGCCTCTCTTATACTTTATGACCAGTCCCTTGTGGACAAGATATTTATTTCAATGTAATCGGCTGTAGTGGCGAAAATTCACTTTTTCCGGGGGGCGAAGCTTTCTAAATTTCTGACAAAACTTTCAAATTTCTGACAACTCTCCCCCCATTTGCACGTCATTTTCCACGAAAGTGGAATTCGTTATTTTTCACGTAGGTTAAAGGGAAGGCCGCCCCCTGCCCCACCCAGATTTTCGCCATTGATCGACTGTATATTAAAGCACTTCTTTGCCATATAGGCACACATTTACTGCTGAGAGTTGTTTCAATAACAAAAATTGCTTGTTTAATTTGACGGCGAGATATTGGACACTATATCAATTTTTATTAAAACAAATAAGTAGAAACAAACCTTTGCCCTTATATGCTGTACTGCCATCATCTTCTTTACATAGTCGCCATTTTTTGATATAATATGCCACATTTGCGCATCTTTTAAAACGTGTATTTTCTTGTGCAATTTGTTCAGGACATTATCGCACTTGTTGCAAGCACCATAAAATTCGTCGTTACGACCTTGCAAACGCACTTTTTTATTTTTTTCGTCTTCGATAACTTCCACACCTGGACAAGAATCTTTCAGATCTTTAAAAAATCCGATATGTTTAAAAAAATTCCGGTTTTCAAAGAAACCGCCCGGAAGATCCTGTTTTTTGTGTTTTCGTCTTACAATACCCACAACTTCAATCACACTTTTCATGAATTTACCCCACAATACCGAAGATTCAACCTTTTTTTCAATAGACTTTTTACCGATTTTTTCTTTTTTTGGAGGCATCGTAAATTCCTAAACAAAAAAAGGTCGTGTCAGCGAAGACAGTTCATATCACGCAGTCTCTTTTTTATTGTACTTGAATAAACGTTTGTAGTCTGAGCATCATGCAAACTTTATTTACAGATAGAACCTGACACAAACAGGTGCAGAGTACGGGGGCTGAGGAGGTTCGAGTCCATCGAGAAATTTTACTGGGTAGTTTCAGCCCCTTTAGCAATTTTCCACAACTTTCTATGATCAAATGCTGTAACTTCCAGCTATATATACTACAGTAACACGGTCTTTGCTAACCCTGTACTGCACGAATTATGTAGATCTGTTAGGTTAATACTAGTCACAGTGGCCAGGTCTCCAAAGTAACATATAATTTTTAATGGTTGCTGAGTTGATTGCTTCCAAATTTTTTCAAAATTTGTCACCATATATAGGCGTACGGGGCTGGGCACAGAAGGACCTGCCTCCAGTTAAAATAAACTCAGGCAAATTATATATTAGTGTAAACCTACTAGTAGGCTATCATGTATTGCGTGTGTTCTGATTGGCTACGCTACCAGTAGGCTACAAGGCTATTGGTGATACACGCATACCTCATGAGCAGACGTGTGTTTGGGAGCTCCGAACTATATTAATTAACTTAGAATCACATTCTTACAAATTAAGGCATACAATTTTAAGCCAAAAACGACTAAGACTACAAATCCGCTAGTTGTTGCTAACAGTGGGAAGTTTTTAACCTTAAAAGTGGTAAGGTGATTCTGATTTATTTCAAGAGCTTGTTCGCGAATTCCCCGGTTATTTACACCCGGAGAAACGAAAGCATTAGCGAAGTCTTTTAAAGTTCATCAATGAGCGCGGGCGTCGGTCACCAACGATGTGTGGTCATTTTCACCAATCTCAAAAATATGGCGGACTGTCATGAATAACGGACACTGATTGGTCCAATTTAAAGTTTGCATTAAAACGACTGCATGACGACAGCGAAATAGCAAACATTTCTTGATTTGATGATTGATAAATTTCTTGCAAATATATTTCATTTTTGCTCGTATCTCAATCGCTCGAATCGCTCGTATCTCGTAAATTTCAATAAAGAAAGGGCGAAAGAATCGGCTAAAAGAAGAGAGCCGACGTTATCGAAGGTAAGTTTGTTTTAAATATTGATTTTATAATGGATTTAAAACCCGACGGCCTTTGCGTATATGAAACAACTAAACAAGACAGCATATATAATTTCAGTGTATATTTAATATTGATTCCCTTTTTATTATATTGAATTTTTTAAATAAAAGTTATTTGCAACCGATAATTTGAAATCATTTTATTGCAAACTCAAAGTTTATCAATAAAGCCATTTTTGTGAATTGTTTGTGGCTGAATTTTACCTTAAATTGAAGTTTCCATTACGTATAATTACATACCTAACATATATATGCATGTCGGGGAAATTGATAATTTTGTAATTAAAAGTGATATTTTTAAGCGATTTTTATTTGTAAGAATATTCTTAAAAAATTATCGTATTACCATGACGACTACTTTAGATACTTCATGTTCGGAAAATACAATGCTTTTGTCAGCAAGGCGAGGATTTCTGCATGCATGTATTTTCTAGTCGAAGACGTATTAAATATAAAAGGAAATTTGTCTGTTCCTTGCGGCGGTTGCAGGCAGGTGAAAACGAACAACATTACCATTCGACTTTATGAAAATAGAAGCGTATCGCTACTGTAATTGAACCATGTCCACTCGTAGTCAAGATAGTGACGTTGTTGCGAGAAACGCGTTTGATGTCCTGAGTGATACGGGCGGCAATGAAACCAGCATTTATAATTATGACGACGGCGAAATCTAAGTCAATGACCCCGGCTCTCTACCTACTTCGCAACGAGAATCCCATCGATTGATAATTCTCCACGTTGGTACAAACGACATTAAGTCAGAGAAATCTCCCGACCAGTTGGTAGAAGTTATTGTGAAATTAGTTATTAGTTAGAAGTTATTGTGAAAGTAGCTATCTACGCTTTTGCCATCAGAAAAGATGGTCATCTAATTCATACAAAAATTAATCAAACAAACAATCTACTTAATTAATTTATTCTGCTCAGATAACAATGTTGACTTCATTAGACATACTAACATATATTTAGATTGTTTACATCGTGGAGGTTTGCACTTGTACCGCAGAGGTAGCATGGCAATGCAAAGAAACTATATGCATTTTTTAAATTGACGTGACATACGTCAAACTAACTCGGAGGAAATTTTGATGATCAGGTCCTTATCAACCTCGTTTCCAGGGCTTTCGTACGAGGACGAAGGGAGAGAAGAGAAAGCCCTGGTCTGGGCCGGTCACGTGCTACCCAAAAAATGGCAGTATTTGACAGCTACTCGTCAAGGAGTGGTGAGATATTCTTTTATGAAATATACAAGTCTTCCAAAACAAATAAACAGCCAAAAGACTTCTCAATCGAAATTATTTATGTGTAGCGAAATTTGGCTCGAATCAGCTGAAATCTCTGAAGACCCCGCCTATGTTTTCTAAGATATACCGATATTTCGGGAGATTTTCAACCACAGGCAAAGCTGCATCCAGGCTGCATCTAGGCGTATCCATGCAAGTGGTGATTAACACGAAATTTGCTTTCTCTCGTCTTGAACAATATGGCTATTGCCTTTAATATTTGGTTTAAATACGCTCTTATAGATCTGACTTAGTTCAATATAAATACAGCTAATTCAAAAAACGTTGTCCGTCGAAAACTGGAAACCGTGAACGTTAGACTATGAGCGCGCGATGCATCATAGAAATCGACGGTTTTGTTTCGCATTAATTAACTATTGCATAACAACAGGAGTGAAGGTAATTGTAAAAATGCCGTGTGTCTATATAGCCAGGACTTACGGCGGAGAGCAATTTGGTTTACCGAAATCTTGGGTTTTCAAATCGACAAAGTGAGCATTTTACTACAAATGTCAACGAAAACGATTTCTTGATACAGTGGGCGATAATTTCTTATGCTGGGCCTTGTAGACACGGCTGTTATCGGCAGACCATATACGCTTGCGTAGCAATGCACCCGCAAGAGGAGCTTGTTATTATGGTGGTTTTGCTGCAGCGCCCAGAGGATATACCCTATCTGAAATACTGCACAAGGAAATCAAGAAACGGGCTCAGCGGTGAATGCGAAGTAAATGCGAATTACTAGTTTGGTATCAAAATGAATGTTTAGGTAAAATGCAAGTGCCAAAGAGGTGGCTATTAGTAAAACCAGGAACACGGGAAAAACGGAACAGAACACCGGAACAGCATCATTCCAGAACACGGAACACCGGAACACTAAACATTCTTAATTGGTTAAAGTGCCTATAAACCCAGAATGGGTTTTTGATGATTCGGATAGAGCGTAAAAAGTTACAATGGAAGTTCTAGATTAGATTTTGGTTTAAACTTCTAGTTTCGGAGATATAACGGCTTAAAGTGCCAATTTTGAGAAAAAAGTAGCGCACAGAGGAGACTGGGTCGGAGGAACACCGAACACGTTGTGTTAATTTCACACTAGGAAACTGTATTACAATTTGGGTAGGCAAGTAAAAAAAACGACTATATTTTTGTGAAAAACCTGAAATGTCGAGCTCAAATTCACACTCGAGTATCTTTAGCAATTCGTCTGTTAGTAGTCCGTGTGAAATTGAAGTTTAGCGCGTTGAAACCGAATATTGTGAAGCCAGTCATGGCGGCTATGTGGATGGCAATTCAGACGAAGAAGAGGCTTCTTGGATGTACTGATTGGTGATGAAGCTTGGCTAGAAGAATACGAAAGCGAGAGGAAGACAATGAAAGGATGAGAGATTTAGAGGTGCGTTTTAAAGGGAATAAACCCGCAACGTCATTGTAATATTCAACACCTAAACTTGGTCAAATTATATTAATGCTTGGCGATTTTGTTTATAACTTGTTGACATATTTGGCTCCGGATATTTACATATTGTATAAATTAGTTTATTGTCATTTAGGTGCAGGTGTGGAAACTGCAACACTGAAATGCTAAAGAATGCTAATGTTGCAGAAAAATCGAAAAATATATCGAATTTGTTGATGATTTGGTCTATCCTGGGTCAGTTGACAAAGAAGTAATTTGTATATAAACAGATCACCCTGGTTTCCCAGCAGTGTGCTTAAACAGATGGTCGTTGAATCTTGCTGCAGAAACGTTTAAAACTCGTGATGGTCATCGTTATAGTCAACTTGGTCCAAAGGAAATGTACAATAAATTTTAGAGCATTTGTATCAGTCAAATCCAGGCATTCCCATCCCCCCCTCCCTGGGCAAAGCCTGGGCTTTTGACAAATGTTACGTTTAAAATAAAAAACATCTGGGGAAATTTTGCCACAACTGTCTTTGAAATTGACATGTTCTATTTCACAATTTTTAATTGAACCCATGTGTGATTATGCTTTGTACGATTATTGAATGCCATCTAGCATTTTTACAAGGCATCACATTCAACCACTTGTTTGACAAATATACTGACATTAAGGGTTTAAAGGCAGAAATATGGAATTTGTCACATGAGTCAAATTGAGGCTGCAATCTCCAAACGTGACGGGGTGTTTCCAAAAATACCCAAGCACCTTGGGGCTACCCTAGCTTTTATGTTACCTGTACTACAAACAATAATTAGGGAGATTATTTGGGACACTGTTCATCACAAGATATTGACATTATACATTTTGATAAACTGATGTGATTGTGTTGTTTTAGATTATTAGTGATCTTTAGAAAATATAATATTAATTTTATATGCCCCACCCCCGGGCAAAGGTTTGCATGCAAATGACCCTCCACTGACAGATTCCACAGAAGCAAATGCCCCGGGGTGGAGGATGGACAAGCTTGGTAAGGTACTAGTTGCCAGTAAATGGGTTAGCAAACCTATCTGGCAATGTTTCTTGCTAAGCCATTACCTAACCGTGCGCTCAGATGCGCCCTACTTTAGTATTTA